CACACGGTTTCCCAGCTCTCATCCTCTGAAAGAGCCACTAGGATTTTCAGCTCTGGGAGACAGGCTTTCTCAGAAGATATCTGACATGTTATCTGGCCAACCTGTATAACTGAATTTTCCCATGGCTATGTCAAATGGTCAAACTGAATAGCATATACTTTAAGATTACAGGTTGTTGCTTCTTCACGAGTTGTCTTTATCCCAACAAAGATCAGACACTCAGGATACCTTATAATTATAAAGCTCAAAATATGAAACCACTAAGCAGCTGACCACGGGAAAAGTCTCAAATGCTTCCTTCCCTCTTTCAAAAACCTCTCTGTCTGCTGAACTGTAACTACAATGTCAAGCTTTTCGTGAACTGACAGAGGATACTAGAAGAAAAACTAACACCTGCCCTGAATTGAATTTCATTTCCGTTGCAAATATGCTCCTAAATATAAAGAAAGAAAACCACAGACTCTGACCTTAAGTAACTTACATACTAGATTTCAAAACCATCTTTAAAACTCTGAATTAACTGTTCTCTTTTTTGGGGAATCTTATCCAAAAATCTAAAATTTCTATTCAACAAACATCAGAACACTGACACACTGTATACAGTATACCACTGAAAATTCCTTCCAGATAGCAGCAAGATGATAAGAGGAAAATATTATCCAGATCTTTCTTAAACTGCATATTCTTCCTTGCAGGGAGGTTAACACAGTGGTAGAACAAAAGTAACATAAATTTTTGAATCAGAAACTCTTAAATTACACCCCCCCCTTGGTATAAGGACTAGTTCCACCACTAAGAGAACATCAAACTCACCAGATAGTTATAAGGATACAGTAAATAGGTGCAAAGCCATTAAACTACACAGTAAGCCCTCAATAAACATTAGTTTTACTATTATTGTGTTATAATCACCTGACTCACAGATGTGGCGGTGCACACCCAATCAGGACACAATCTGAAAAGCTGAGGCAAAAGATCTCAAGTTCCAGCCCAGCCTGAGTAACCTGGCAAGACCTTGACTCAAAGTCAAAAATTCAAAAAGGTTGGAAAGCCAGGCTTGGTGGCACATGGGAAGCCGAGGCAGAAGACCACCCTGAGTTTAAGGTCAGCTTCAGCTGCATAGTGAGTTCAAGGCCTGTCTGAAATACATAGCAAGACCTCATCTCAAAAAAGGGGGTGTTGGAGATGCTGCTCAGGGCAAAGGCCCTGGGTTTCAACCTCAGTACTGCAAAACTAATAATAGTAACATGGAGGTGGTGGCCTACACCTGCAATCCCAGCTACTGGGGAGCTAAGGCAGGAAGATTCCAAGTTCAAGGCCCACTTGGACAATTTAGCTAGATCCTGTCTCAAAATTTTAAAAAGCTGGGGATGTAGCTTAGTGGTACACTTAGTGTAGCTTAGTGGGTAGCTTAGTGGTGTGGCTTGCTCTAATCTCCAATATCACAAAAAAAAAATAAATAAGAGCAAATATTCTGAAAATTAGCTCTTTTATAATGCAATATTTAAAAGCACCTTTCCCAGTCATCTTCCCTTTTTATTAAGGTCATTCTGAAACTAAAAATATTATTTGAAATTTCTTAAGTTCTACATATGTATGTGGCTTCAAATTATTCTAAAATACCAATTCCCAGACATTGTATTTAATCTCCCCTAAAGAAATACAGAAACCAAGCCAACAGATTTCTGTGTCCAACAACTTGATCGGGACCAAACAAAAAAGCAGAAAGACTAGAAATGGATTATCTGTACCAACTTTTCCATTAGCTGTTAAAGCCAGTAAGTTCCCTAACCAGAAGCACTACGGTACCAATGTATTACAAGAGCACACCGTATATTCTACACAAATACTTCAGCTGCTTTAGAATGATACCAGGTCTTCCTCTCATTTTGTTCCCTATTTCTAAAGGTAACTACGATTTTAAAGTGATTTTAAAGTGTTTAGTGCAACGACAAGAACTCAGATTGCAGCGTATCAATTTTTTTTTTAAATCCCGACATCCACTACATTGTTTACCACTGAGAATATAGAAAATAACAAATTTTCATCAGGATAGGGAGGAACTAAGATTTTTATGCAATGTGAGTGGGAAAATGAGGGAACTGGTCTCCCACTGGTCTGCTACAGCCACTGTCAACAACAGAATGGCTCAGTTTGGAATAGATCACTTGTCTTAGCATGCCTAAAGCCTTGGGTTCAATTCCCAACACTACAAATAATAATCATCATAATTAGTGATTCCTCAAAAATTAAATAGGATCCAGCAATGGATATGCATCCAAAAGAACTAAAAGCAAGGTCTCTAAAAGATACTTGTACACTCACGTTCATAGCAACGTTATTCACAGTAACTAAAGTTTGGAAACAACCCTGGTGTCCACACAGAAATGAATGAACCAGAAAATGTGGCACATTACCTACAAAGGAATACTATTCAGCCTTCAAAAGGAAATTTTAATACATGCTACAACATGGATGAACCTTGACGACATGGCAAATGAAACAAATCAAACACAAAAACACAAACGCAGTATGATACCATTGACATGAGGAGGTTAGAGCAGTCAAGATCAAAGAGCAGAATGGTGGCTGCCCGGGCTGGGAGGAGGAAGGAATGGGGAGCTGTAGTTTAATGAATACAAAGTTTCAGTTTTGCAAGATGGAGAGTCTTGCAGATGGATGGTGGTGAAAACTGCACAGCAGTGTGAATGAGCTTAATGCTAATAAAGTATATACTTAAAGACAGTTAAGAAGGTGAATTTTATGTTCGGTGTATTTTACCACAGGAAAAAAACAAACAAAAGAAAATGAGGGAACTGGTCTCCTTGAAAAGGGCTATGGCGCTCCTACTAAGACTGACAGCAACAACTCTGGCAATCAGCCCACAGCTGCCTCTGCACACACCCTGAGTCCTGTCTCCTCAGGGTCCCCATCGTCCCTTCAGCTTCAAAAGGAGCAAACAGTACTCCTGCCCCACCAGTTCTATATCAAAGCACTGAGAAAATCTCTAAACCTGCCTTCTCTTTTAAACGAACGTAATTCCTACCTACCTGCCTCACAAGGTTGTTATGAGGGCAAAAGTGAGATCATGTATATGAAATTAGCTTTAAACTGCCAATCACCACAGAAACATAAATTGTAATTACTTTCATACAGATTTAGGAGCTCTAACAACATAAGCTTCACAAATATAAGCTTCCAACGCCCCACCTAGGCTTCCACTTAAAACCCACTTCATCCCTAAATGACACCTTTGTTTTTATCGTAAACTGAAGGGCGGCAAGGGGGGGTATGGTGCTTAAATAACCTAAAGCATTGGAACAAACTACCCCAAATGCAACAAGAAATCGTCCTAGGCAAGTTGAGTATTTCTGACCCCAGCGTGGGCCTGCGGCACTGGACTACACTTCCCACAAAGCACCTTGGCGGGCAGGCTGCGCGGCCTGGGACTCGGTGACCACCCGCTCCCGATCTGCGACGCTCTGTCCAGTGTGCACTGACCCTCCTTTCTGACAGCGCTGTCACTCCGCGGCTTCCCTGCAGCCAGCAGGGTGGCCCTCTCTGCGCCGCCTCCCTCTCCACCCGAGGGTCACCGCTTAGCCGTGACCTTTCGGCTCATTTCTAGGGTGTCACAGAAGGGCACTTTCTCCCCCTTGCCTATTGCTCGATCAGAACTCGCCTAGCAGCACAGGGGACACGGCGGGGTCAGACCCGGCGGGCGGACACCGTCCGGCACCCTGGGCCTCCGGCCCGCCCGCGGCCCCCGCACC